ACAGGAGTAGGTCAAGGCATGTAGCTGTGTCCCAAGAGAACTTGATTATTAAACCAAACCTTGGCCTGGCCTGGTGCTGCACGTCAATCATCCCAGTTACTCAGGAGGCTAAGGCAGGAGGATGCAGAGTTTGAGGCCAGCCTCAGCACCTTAGCCCTTGACACAAAATCAAAAGGGCTGGGGTGTAGTTGAGTGCCTCTGGGTGCGATCCTCAGTCCAAAAAATCAAACCAAACAAACAAACAACAACAACAACAAAAAAAACCCAAAACCAGAACCTTGAATTTCACAAAATGTTGTGTCACAAAACACACTCCAACCATTTAAAAATGTAAAGACCATTTGTAGCTTGCAAGGTGCACAAAGCCTGCAGGCAGCAGGATGGATGGACAAGCAGCTTGCGGCCCCTTACCCCGGCTCCTGAGAGCGTGCATGGCCTCCAGCACTCAGGAGGGTCTGTTCAGTTTCTCCGTCCCTGAGACTGAGAGCTGAGGGCTGGCAATTTCTTTCTGTTTTTTTGGGGGGGAGGGTGCCAGGGATTGAACTCAGGGCACTCAACCACTGAGCCATATCCCTAGCCCTATTTTGTATTTTATTTAGAGACAGGGTCTCACTGAGTTGCTTAGAGCCTCACTTTTGCTGAGGCTGGCTCTGAATTCACGATCCTCCTGCCTCAGCCTCCTGAGCCGCTGGGTTGACAGGTGGGCATGACCGCACCCAGCTTGCGGCACTAGGATGGAACCCAGGTCTGYGTGTGCTTGGCTGCTCATTTTCAAATAACCTGTGCAAGGCCAGGAGTGGCCCCTGTGTATGTCCTGAGCTCCTCCTTGTGCAAAGCCACAGGGCAGGAGGAGACCCCGCCCTGCCCTTCCTGAACTGCACGTTCTCAGGCCTCCCAACCTGGGCCAGGGCTGAGCTCTCTCGGGGCTGCCCTGCACTTCCCGACAGCTGTCCCCCCCCCCCCCCCCCCCCCCCCCCCCCCCCCCCCCCCCGTGGCACTTACCGCCCGTGATGTAATGGGCCCTGGACTTGTTTACTTGTCGGCCTCCCTCTCCCATGAAAAGAACCCACAGTGGGGCCTTTGGATCTTGGGGGGGACATAAGACAATCAGGGCTCCCCCATGTGTGGTTGGCAATCTGTTCCCCAAAGCACTCTTCACTGCTGCTGGTGGGTTGCATCCCTGAGCATCTAGAGATAATGCTGGGATTTTTTTTCCTTGGGGAGAGGTACCAGGGATGGAACCCAGGGACACTCGACCCCTGAGCCCCATCCCCAGCCCTATTTTGTATTTTATTTAGAGACAGGGTCTCCCTGAGTTGCTTAGGGCCTCACTTTTGCTGAGGCTGGCTTTGAACTCGCCATCCTCCTGCCTCAGCCTCCCGAGCTGTGGGGGTGACAGGTGTGGCCACCGTGCCCAGCGTTAGTGCTGGAATGTCGAGGGAAGAAACGCAAGCTATTTTTAAACCCCGCAAAGGTCTGARTGGTGCCATTTCTAGTGCCCTGTCCCCTCTGCCCACCATCTTGGGCAAGAATCGAGAGCTGTCCTCCTTTTTACCTGGCCTCTCCCTTCCAGGGCAGGGTCCCCCTGGCCCCCAGTCCCCATTACCAGGGTGACAGTGGGGCCCCTCTCAGGGCGGGTCCCACCTCCAACCTCAGGGCCCGCCACAGGAAGTTCGAGTGGAGTTGTTGGTGTTTTCATGCTTACGGGCCCCAAAGGCCTGATGTCAGAGCCACCATGTCCCCGGCCTACTGTCGCTGTCCTACTGTCCACCCGTGTTGATCAACATCAACGCCCAGGCTGTCACAAACAAGGGGGTGTGGGCCGTCACGTGGCCTAGCATGAGTAACCACATTCTCACTTCCTTCTTTCACACTCCGCGTTGGGGGTTGGCAGGCCGGGGACCACGGCAGAGGGTGCCACGGTGCTGTCTGGGCACTGAAGCGGAGAAGCCACTCTGGGCCCAGGAGGCGGGCCTCCCCATGCCCTGCTGAGCGCGGTAAGTGCTGGTTTGCAAAACCACAGSGAGTGGCCGCGGCCCCAGGGACCCCGGGGCTGCCTTTGGGCTCCGAGCAGGCCGGGGAGGACCACTGGGTCCCTCCTGAGCTGCAGCCCCCAGGGAGGCCCAGCCAAGGCTCCTCGGGCTCCGGCCCAGCGGCTTCCTGGAATCAGTGGCGCCTTATCCAGGCCCTTCCGGGGCCTGCACCTGATCATTTCTTTGCTTACAGCTTCTGCCTTAGCCGGGGCCGTGGGCATTGTGAATGCAAATTTCAGAAAAATCACAGGCCTGTCCCCAGAAATTGTGCAGCCCCTTCCTCTCACGGTGGGAAACTGAAGTCCAGTGAGGCAGAGGGATTCGCTTAGAGGCAGAGCTGAGACTAGGCCTGGAACATTCTAGAAAGGAGGAGGGGGCGCGGGATCTGTCTTGAAGCCGCAAAAAATTTCGAAGTCATGAAAATATCACCCTTTGACACTTTGGTTGGAATTGAGAAAGCGGCACTTCTTCGTGGCATGTGACTAACATGCAAATTGGGACACTACCGTTAGCAAAAGACAAAAGAGGGGAACTCTTAATTGGGAGACTCTGATTGATTGGAATTTGGGGTTCTCCAGGGACACTAAAGGAGAATGAGAGGGGCTGAGAGCCAAAGTGGATCTCCACACCCCACACCCCACGGATCAGGCTTCCTGCCACCTGGGACCCCTCTTTGTGGCTGGCTCATCTCTGACTTCAAGCCCCCAGGGCTGACCCCTCAGTGGACAATGCCGTAAGAGGTGGCTCCCAGTCTCTAGGCGCCAGAGTGGCTTCCCTGGGGTCACCCACAGGTACCGCCTGGGTGAGGGACACCTCCCTCGATGGCCTTGGCCCCCAGCCAGGGGAGCTGAAACCCAGAGAGCAGAAAGGGCTGGGTCGCCTGCAGGGCTGAGCCCCCCCTTGAACCTCCGCTGGGCCCAGAGCCAGGTGGGCTAGGATTGTGGAGCACCAGAGGGGCCAGTGCCCCTGTACAGGTGGGGAAACCAAGGCTCAGTGAGGAGAAGCAGCGCCCACTGCCGTGTGGCAAGGAGGRGGCCTGCACAGCCCCATGGGGACCAGTCCTGGCCTCTCAGATCCCAGTGCTGACCTGGAGCAGGACATGCGCAGTGGGGCAGGGGTTAGGCAAAGGGTGGGCTGGGGGGGATGTGTCCATGCCCTGCGACTTCAGAAAACCCTCACCTGTTTTTTTTCTTTGTATGAGGATTGAACCCAGGGGCACTTAATCCCCGAGTCACACCCGCAGCCCTTTTTAGTTTTTATTTTGAGACTGGGTCTTGCTCAGTTGCTTAGGGCCTCACCCATTTGGTGAGGCTGGCTTCCAATTTGTGAGGCTCCTGCCTCTGCCTCCCAAGTCACTGGGATTACAGGCCTGTGACCCCCTCCCCTCGCACGGCCCACCATCACTTTGGAAGTAAAATCAGGAAGTTCAGATTCATTTGTGCAAAATACGAGGACTCCGGTGTACACGGCCAGCACCCTGGGGTTCCATCGAGTGAAACAGGGCTCCTGGGGAGGTGGGGCTTTCACTCCAGGAAAGGGCACGTCCTGGGTCACAGACCCCTGGGGCCAGGGCTGGGTTCCAGTTCCCGCTCCCTGCGTTCCCACTGTGACTCAGGAGCSGGGTGGGCCTGGGTGTCCCCGGCTTTCACATGCGTCCAAGGTGGTTCCCAGCTGCATGGGCTCCTCACTCGCACACAGGACTTAGAACAGGGCCTGGCTTGCTGTCCCCCCCACACCTGCCAGTCACAACCCCCAGCAGGCGGCTGGGGTGCCCTGCCTGCCGCCTCCYTCAGACAGAGAGGCAGGGCACATTAGAGCCGGTCCCAGGGCGGGGACGAGGCAGAGGTTAAGGGGTGTCCCTCGTCCTGGGCCGACTGGCTTTTATWGAGCCCTGTGTGCTGACCACTCTGCCTGGACTGACCCCTCCGACCTCCAGACCCCACAGCAGCTGGCCCCCTTATGGAGGGCTGGACTTGGATTTTCCACGGGTGTGAAAGCRACACCTAGTAGAATCTGCACTTGGATTTTTGAGCTTTGACCTCCCTGGGGCTGTCATAAGAAGGCGTGGCCTGAGGTGCTTTTGCCCAGCTGTGGGCGGAATAGATCGGGCCAAGCTGCCATGTTTGGTGTATTCGGTGCATTTCCGATTTGTGATTCTCTTCACTTTACCATGGGTTTGSGGGGAGAGTACCCCATAGTAAATCAGGGGCATTTGTGTTCCAGATGAGATACCCAGGGCTCAGAGAGGTCAGTCAAATGGCCCAAAGTCACACAGCACGTCTAGGGACGGAGCTGGGATTGAACCGGTTGACTAGCGGGGTCCTGGTGGGGGTGTTCTGCTCACGGGGACTTCACTCTCTAGAGGGGCCTGGGAAAGACCTGCACCTCAGTCTGACCTACTTGTTGATCTGGGGGTTCCCCTTTCCTTGTGGCTGCCTAACCCACACCCCGAGAAGCTCAGGCCTCTGGATTCTGAGATTCCCAGAGCTCCTCAGAAGGGGAGTTCCCGGGGACACCTCTCCTGAGCGTCCCAGGGCGGCCACCCAACGTGGTCCCCAGAGCTGGGGTAGGGCTCCTTGCTCCTCCCTGCGGCCTGGGTGGGGCTGGGGCAGAAGCAACTGGGTTTAGGGTGACAGGCAGAAGCAGCCTGACCTACTCCCGAGGAGGAGGAGCCCTAGGACGAGGCTGTCCTCAGCCCTCCCTCCGGGCTCCTGGAGAGGGGAGGTGGAGGGCGGGGCCTGGACGTGGCTCCTCCCCTGCAGAGGGGAGGTGGAGGGCGGGACCTGGACGTGGCTCCTCCCCTGGAGAGGGGAGGTGGAGGGCGGGGCCTGGTCGTGGCTCCTCCCCTGGAGGGGAGGGGGAGGGCGGGGCCTGGACGTGGTACCACTTGAGCCACATCCCCAGCCCCAAGAGATGCAGCATCTTGTCCTTCCTGTCCAATGGGCTGAAGCCGTCAGAACTGTCTCGGGCCCCTTCCTAGTAAAGGCCTGGACGGCAGGGACCTCTGCTGGGCTGGGGACTTTCAGTACTAATACCCAGAACATCTGGGACAGGCTGGTCACTCYGGGCAGGCCCAGGCAGGGGGATTTGGGCTGTCCCACAGTGCCACATCTAATCTCCACAGAGCAGGTCTTTGATGTCACCTGGATCCGAGTGGCTTTCCTCGCTCCCACCGTGGAGGCAGGGAGGTTGCATCTCTGTATTGTCCCCGAGTCTGCAGTCTGTTTCCTCCATTCCTCTGCCTGCAGCCCTGAAGAGGGTCCCCCTCCTGGAAGCCAGCATCGGGGACCCTCCACACGGCGTCCCACCAGAGCCTCACTACGGCTCTTGGAGCCCATTTTACAGGTGAGAAAACTGACGCTCAGGGGGGAGAGGCTCAAGTTAGTAAGTGGAGGTGACCTGGGATCCCGGCCCTGCGTCTCTCGCTCCTCCCAGGCCCTGCGGGTGGGTGTAGGCGGCCGGCAGTTGGTGGTGAGCCGCGTTAGGGCCACCCCCAGGCTGCGCGGTGGGGCCTGCTGTCCAGGGCGCGGCCCCAGGGGCTGGAGGCGGGGCCTGGCCTTCCTGCCCCTCCCTCTGCTTCCTGGAAGCCGCTGAGGGCTCTGCCTTCCAGGAACCGAGAACTACCCCGCGGGGCCACGAGGGTTTCAAAGTTAGGAAACATGATTCCGAGCTGGTGGCTTCTCCCGTGGTCCCCTGCCACCAGAGAGACGGGGCCAAGGTGGGGCCCCGGGTTTACCAGCAACCAGGAGCTCCACTCCAGGTGCGGAGAAGCCCCGTCCCTCCGGAGGCAGGTGGGTGGGGAGATGCACGGGTGTGTGTGTGTGTGTGTGTGTGTGTGTGTGTGTGTGCGCGCGCGTGCGCCACATTTATTAAGCACCTACTGTGAGCCTGGGACTTTTGCATCCATCTTCTCGTTGCATTCTCTCAGCAGCTTGATGAGAAAGGGACCATTTGTTCTCCTCTTTTTACAGACTGGAAATTTGAAGCTTAGAGAGGCCAGGATCTGTCTCAAGATCACACAGCTTGCAGGAAACCAAATCGGGACTTGAACCCCTTTTTGTCTGATCCCCTAGTCGTGCTTTCAATCCTACATCCTGTACCGTCCCTGGTAAATAGGGGACTGAACTTTCKAGTGAGGTGACTTCAAGTCCTTTATCTTACGGTGCCCTCTCCCCACCTGGGCTCCCACGTCCACACACAAACACATGGGGCTAAGCCCTCTTCCAACAAGCTTTTGTGTCTTTTGCCCCCTCATAAAGCCTTCCTGAATCCTTACTGGGTTCAACTCCCATCTCGGCCACTCACCTGCTGTGTGTCTTTGGGAAAGTCGCCTYACTTCTCTGAGTCTCAGGTCTGCTTTCTCCTCCAAATCACACGACTGGAAGATGAGGGGAGATACTGGAAGCTACTCCAGTGCTGATGGAGGGTCCCCCCTGTCCAGGGAGCCTCCAAATACCTGCATCCCTCCCCCAACACAGCTGCCGCTCGACACAGAGTTTCCTTTTGAAAGTTTTTATCGTGATAAAATATTCAGATGCAACACAACATGGTCACTCCCTATTCTCTTCTCACCTGGGCCCCACTCGCCTCCGACCTGGGTCCCGTCCCTGGGATCTGCCTCATCTAGACACGGGGAAGAGTGGACTCGGGATCCTCCTGGCTGGCTAGTTCCAGCGTGCTCTAACRTCCACGCAAGTGTGAGAACTTGACCTTCACGTGCCCCAGGGCCAGTGGCCTTCACTGTGCTTGATCCACCTGTCACCGCTCCCCCGAGTCCTCCTTCGGGCTCTGTGCATCATCAGGCCGCAGCCAACATTGATCCACAAGAATCTGTTTGAGTCCCTGCTTTCAGCCCCTGGGAGAATACACCTGGGMCCGTCCCAGGGCAGGGTGGCAATTCTATTTCTAGGTTTCGGAGGAACCACGGAGCTGTTGTCCCTAACGGCTGCCCCATTTTGGGTCCCCACCAGCCATGGAAGAGGGCTCTAGTTTGTGCGTGACCTTGTCACCAGCTGTTATTTTCTATTTTTAAGGTTACAGCTATTCTGGAGAGAGTGAAATGACACCTCATTTTGACTTTATTAATCAAGAAAAAAAAAGAGCTAGGTGCATTTTCTAGTAAAATTTAAAAAATAGTTTTGGAAAAGGGATGCCATCAATAAAGTCAAAAGAATTGTGTTATATTTGGGGAAAAATTATAATGCAGATGATAGGAAAAAAAGGCATGTGTGTGTGTGTGTGTGTGGGTGGGTGGGTGGGGGGGTGTGTTCAAAATGACACCAACCCAAAGACAAGTAGACAATGAATACAAAAACTCAAAATATTACAAATACTTAAAAATATACAACAAGAAACTGAGTATGGTGGCCCTCACCTGTCATCCCAACAGCTCGGGAGGCTGAGGCAGGAGGATCTCAAGTTCAAAGCCAGCCTCAGTGAGGCCTTCTAAGCAACTCAGTGAGACCCTGTCTCTCAATAAAAAATCAAAAAGGGCTGGGGATGGGGGCYCAGTAGTCGAGTGCCCCTGAGTTCAATCCCCAGTACAAAAAAAAAAAAAAAAAGAAGAAGAAAAATTCAATTTGGCTACCACAGCGTCCAGAAACATATGTGGAGGAGGAGGGATCTTACATCTATACAGGATCTAACTTAGCATCACTTTTAGAGATTAAACATTTGGAAATAAAATGATCTCCCACCACTATGACAATAATAAATATACTCTGTTAAAATACACACCACAGGGGATTCTTAAGGGCAAGGTTTTGGATTCTGTAAACAGCAGCTAGTGCTGTTCTRAAAGGTCTGGCTGATCTCCTGTCCCCAGAAGGTGCAGCTAATGGCTCTGGGCCCCTAAGGACTTACAGGGTGTGTTGCCTAAAAGAGCCCAGGCACTGGAACCCTGCAGAGAGCTGGCCACATGGGCATTTGGCTCACATCACGTCATTGTCCTGAGAGCAGCTGGGGGGTATCACCCTCATCTCCAATGTCTAGGCGAGGACACAGCCAAAGGAGGCAGGACCATGCAGAGATGCCCAGAGGGAAGAAAAAYGAGGCAACCTGAGAACTGGCCAGAGCTGTGGGGAGAGGGAGCCAAGATAGGAGAAGGGGGCAGGCAGAGAAGCCACCTCACTGTGCTCTGGCACAGGACCAGACTGAAGAGGGCTCGAGCAGCTTTACTGTGGACTGTGTTGCAGACCCTGCCAGTGGGCGAGGACCTGAGCACGCACCCTCTTTGATCTCTCGATCTCTCTCTCTCTCTCTCAGTGCAGGGGTTTAAATCCAGGGCCTCATGCATGCCAGGCAAGTGCTCGACCACTGGACTCCATGCCTAGCCCTTTATTTCATTTGATTTTTGACACAGGGTCTCACTAACTTGCGGAGGCTGACCTCAATCTTGCCATCCTCCTGCTTCAGCCTCCCAAGTAGCTGGCATGACAGGTGTGGGTCACTGTGCCTGGCTGCATGTTTCTCTCTTTATGAATTGTACACAGGTACCACTGTGCTCTTGGGATAAATTATTAATATCTACAACAATAGAATTAACAAGGGATGACATGAAAGTCAGTATAACCRTAAGCTCTAGGACCCTCTTCCGATGCCTCAGTGGGTTATCTTGCCCATAAACAAAAAATTTTAGTCAAAGTGCTGGATGTGGTGGCGCACGCCTGTCATCGCAGCAACTCCGGAGGCTGAGGCAGGAGGATCTCGAGTTCAAAGCCAGCCTCAGCAAAAGCGAGACCCTAAGCAACTCAGTGAGACCTGTCTCTATATAAAATTCAAAATAGGGCTGGGGATGGGGCTCAGTGGTGGAGTGTCCCTAAATTCAATTCCTGGTACCAAAAAAAAAAAAGAGTTTTAGTCAAAAATGTTAAGGACACAAGTGAAGCTCTTATGTCCCAGAGGGAGACTCCTGGGTGGCTTTGTGAATGTTGATAAATAGTAACAGCTGCTACTGCTGAGGGTCTGCTCTGTCCTGGCCCGTCCTGGGGTGGGGTGCCCGTCTCAGGCGGAGGAGCCGGCCGTGTCCTGATGTCTGTGTGTCTCTGTGTCTCCCAGGTACCATGCCCCTGCACCTGCTCCTGCTGCTGACCCTGCTGGGCCCTGGCAGTGCCCTCCAGCTGTGGGAGATCACCCACAGAGCAGCTCCAGCCCCCCAGCCTGCCCGGGTACGGAGACAGGTGGCCCTGGAGGACGACTACATTGACCAAGACTATGGCACAGAGGGCACAGACCCTCCGGAAACACTGGACAATCACACGGGGACCGCGGCGGCAGGCCCCAAGGTTCTGACCACAAAGGGCACATTGGAGCCGAGCGCTTCTGCGGGGCCYGGAACCCCCGGGCCAGCCACGGCGGAGGCTGCCACGGGGCACTCTGCTGGCCTGGCTGCAGGGGGGACAGCCACGGAGGGGCCGAGCACAGAAGTGGCCACGCCATGGGTGTCAGTCACAGGGCCGCTGGCCACAGAGCTGACCTCTGCGATTGCTGCATCTACAGAAGGGCCTCTACCCGTGGAGACAACAGCCACGGAGGGCCTGTCCACAGGGCCAGCAGCCACAGAGGCTGACACCACTCCGTCCGTGGCCACCAAGGCAGAGACCATTGCTCCAGTGGCCACCGAGGCAGAGACCACCCAGCCTGCGACCACTGAAGCAGAGACCRCTCCGCCAGTGTCCACGGAGGCAGCGATCCCTCYKCCAGGGGCCACCGAGGCAGAGACYKCTCCGCCAGKGGCCACCAAGGCAGCGATCCCTCCRMCAGGGGCCACMGAGGCAGRGACCGCTCCGCCTTCGGCCACTGAGGCTCGGACCGCGCAGCCTGTGGTCACGGCAGTTGTGTCCACCGAGAAATCCATGGTGAAGTCCCTGTCCAGGGACACCACCGCCACCACGGCCTCTCGTGTGACTTTCGAGGGTGTCATGGTGACAACCAGCCACTTGCACAGTCGCGAGGTCGTCTTCCCCGGAGGCTCCGTGGACCCCAGCTCCACGGGCGCSTCGGACCTGATCCCCGTGAAGCAGTGCCTGCTGGCCATCCTGGTCCTGGCCCTGGTGGCCACCGTCTTCTTCGTGTGCACCGTGGTGCTGGCCGTCCGCCTCTCCCGCCAGACCCACACGTACCCCGTGCGCAGCTACTCGCCCACCGAGATGGTCTGCATCTCGGCCCTGCTGCCCGAGGGGGGCGAGGGCGCCGCGGCCACGGCCAACGGGGGCCTGCCCAAGAGCCAGGGCCTGAAGGCAGACACCCGGGAGGACTGCAACGGGGATGACCTCACTCTGCACAGCTTCCTCCCCTAGCTCGAGGCCCTGGCCCGGCCACAGCTCTGGGCTTCCCGGGAGACCCTTGGGACTGGGGGTCTTTAGGGAAGGAACTCTGGCTGCCCCAGACAGGGCCCCAAACAGCCAAGGTCCTGGGGCCGCACAGGACTGGCCAGCCAACCAGGCGGCCACWTTGCCTGAGAGATCCTGGCCCCTCCTGGTCCCCCATCTGTCCCAAGGYCCCTTTTATGCTTCCATTCTTCCTTCCTCCAGCCCACCTGGGTCTCCTCCCCATGTCCCCAAGGAAGACTGAGTGCCTGTGCCCCACTCCATCACTATATTCTTTTTGTTTAGGGTACCTCGGATTGAACTTGGGGCACTCGCCCACCGAGCCCCATCCCCAGCCCTAGTTTGCATTTTATTTAGAGACAGGGTYTCACTGAATTGCTCAGGGCCTCGCCGTTGCTGAGGCTGGCTTGGAACTGGCGATCCTCCTGCCTCAGCCTCCTGAGCTGCTGGGATGACCGGCCTTGCACCCGGCTCCCGTCTCTATTTTCCTCTCGTTGCCACGGTCACCATGTAGAGGAGCATTTTGGAGGGGTGCTGAAGAGCATGGGGTTCCTGGGGCCATCTCCACACCCTGAAGGGCTGTGTGGGTGGTCTTGGGTGCCTTTCTGGGAAACCCAGGGTGAGGCCTCAGCCTGTGGGTGCTGGGGTGGGGTGGGGGTGGGGCGTGTGCACCCATGAGATTCCATCTGGTGACAGAGGAAGCCCATGCTGCCCCTCTCTCCTTCCCCTGTGGCCGTGTTCCAGGGTGGCTCTGTCTCCTTCGCTGCAGTGTCCCTCACCCAGCCCTGGACCTGGCCACACACAGGCACTCAATAAACATGATGAACAGACGCTTGGTGGCCAGTCCTTCAGTGTCCAGGCCGCCTCCTCCAGGCAGCCTTCCCAGCATCCTCCACTCCTCAGCTGTTTGCCTGTGACCCTGGGGCCCTGGGGAAGCCCCCTTCCCAGGCTGATGGGTTGACTTCTGGGTCCCCTCATGGGCCTTGGGGGCCTCTGCACCCATCCTTGAACAACTGGGGGAGAAAATAAAGGGCCCCATTCAGCCCCCCATGGCCATTTTATTCACCCCGTGACCCAGTTGTGACCTACAGAATCACGTTTCCCYGGACTTCAGGCTAACGTGGCTCTGTGTCCCCCCCCCCAGAAGCCACTGGTTTCTTCTTTCCACGGGGTGAGGGCTCCACCCCACGACGCCTGGTGGCAACTGTGCTACTTCTCAGCTCAGAGGGGCGGTCCTTAAAGTTTGGGGTCATCAGGCTTTTTCTTCAAGGGCAGTCGGTCAACACTGATGCTCCAGCCGGTCACTTTGTCTAGGGTGCAGCCTCGCCAGGTCCCAGAGGTGGGTCATCAGTGACTGTCGCRACTGTGTTGAAGTACAGCGGGGTCAGGCTCTGCAAGTGTGCTGACCTGTGATGTCACTGTCAGGTGACAACCCTCCCAGGTGACCAGGCATCCCAGTTTGCCTGGGGCTTTATGATTTTTTTGTTTGTTTGTTTTGTTTTGGTACCAGGGATTGAACTCAGGGGCACTCACCACGGAGCCCCATCCCCAGCCCTATTTTGTATTTTATTTAGAGACAGGGTCTCACTGAGTTGCTTAGGGCCTCGCTGTTGCTGAGGCTGGCTTTGAACTCTCGATCCTCCTGCCTCAGCCTCCCAGCCGCTGGGATTCAGGCGGTGCACCACTGTGCCCAACTTCCCCAGGGTCTCCTCAAGGGGTCCTTCTGCAGGCTTCCCTTCCCTGAGGGCTTCTTTCCTTGAGGATGCAGTGTGGCTGCGCAGGTGTGGCTCTCCTTCTCTGTGGGACCAGGGCCGCTGACCCTTGGAGCTCTCCGTTTGGATTCCCATCTCTGCTCACCCAGGTGCAGGATTGAATCCAGCCTTGCTGTGGGTGCTCAAAGCAGCCACCAGGGGGCGCCCGCCACCAGCCCCTAGAGCCGTTGAAACCTGCCGCTGCTTCTATCTGGTCTTGGAGGAGGCAGGAGAGGTCCGGACCCAGGGCGGTGCCCCAGACCACGGGGCGCTGCTGAATGCTGACAGAGGGCTCCCTGGAGGGAAAAAGCCCTGGTGTGTAGGGTTTGCATACTCCTCCGTGGAAATACCTCAGGGCCAGTTTTGAGCCACCAAATATTAAATAGCAGAGAACAAGATGTCAATAACCTTGAGATCACAGATAATATCAGGATGTAGCGAAACACAGGAAGTGGTGAGTTTTGAGCATCGATGACCTTGGTGTGTGTGTGTGTGTGTGTGTGTGTGTGTGTAGAACTGGGGATGGAACCTGGTGTCTGGCTCAGGCTAGGCAAGTGCTCTACCACTGAGCTGCACCTCCAGCCCCCGATGACCTTGGTTTCTATTTAATTCATTTATTTTCTTTCTTTTTTCTTTTCTTTTTTTTTTTTTTTTTTTGGTACTGGGGTTTGAACCCAGGGGAACTGCACTTCTGAGCTGCATCCCCAGCCCATTTTATTTTTTGAGACAGGGTCCTGTTAAACTGATGAGACTGGCCTCCACCTTGAGATCCTCCTGCCTCAGCCTCCGGGGTTGCTGGGATGACAGGCGTGGGCCACAGCACCCTGCTGACCTGGGTTTTAATGTAAAGTATTTATTAAACAACAGACGGAAGAGTTGCTATGTGGCTTCCAGGCAGACACGGCTGGCTCTTGTCACCAGTACCAGTCCCCCCTGCCCTTGAACATCTCCCCAAACACCCCCTGAACCCACACACAGGAGCCCTGCGAAGGCTGTACTTGTGTCCCTTCTACAGAAGAGAAAATCTCGAGGCTCAGAGAGATGACGCCCCCTTCCCCAGGCCAAGCACGAGCATCTGGGGCTGGAGCCCAGGTCTGAAGACCACCCTCACCACCCACCATGTCACGCCACCCTAAGATCACAGTGGGGTTCTGGGGGAATCCCATGCCTCAAAGTCACCCCCTGCCGACCTTCCCTGGGCCCTGGAAGTCCCCCCTTAGTCACCCTTCGTGTCTCCTGGAGGCTGAGAAAAGGCATTGGTAATTGGGAGGGGGCCAGGGCACAGCCCAGCAGAGAGCAGGGCACAGCAGAGCTGGGCGGGGACCGAGGGGCAGCCCCTGGGCGGACAGTCACCAGCCCCTTGCCAAACGCGCTCCGTGTCATCGTTCAGGCCTCACAGGACCCACGCTGTGAGTGCAGCACGTACCCGGTTCCTGCTGGGGAACTGAGCCCCGGGCGCCGGCTTGTGTGCCTCTGGGAACCGCAGATCTGCTGGCCGGGAAGGAGGAGGGGAGACGGGACGTGGGGAGCAGGCGGGGGCCGGCCACCACCCTCATCTCCCAYGAGCCGGGCTGCGGGGTCACCCAGCTGCTGCTCTGTGCGGGGACCCCTAGCTGCTCCCCCACACCCCATCCTTATCGGCCGCGTGACCAAGCAGCGGGTCACTGCAGAGCGGGCCAGGCCCCCACAGGGCCACGTGAGCAGGACAGGCCTGGGGACACCTCGCAGTCAGGAGAGGGCATGGGGCCTGCATGTCCCCCAGGAAAAGGTCAGGTGTCTGTACTCAGAGCCTGGGGACGCCGAGGGCTGGAGTGGGCAGGTCTGTCCCAGGACCAAGGGACGCAGAGCGAGGACCCGGGGYGGGAAGGCCAGCCCTGGACGCTGCTGAGCTCTGGGTGGCTCTGGCCCTGCCCCGGCCTCCGCTGCTTTCCCTGCTTGGGGGGGGCGGGGGCAATGGCATCGTCCCTCACCCCTGTCCCAGTCCTGGCCCTGGATGTCCCCGTCTGCACCTGTTCTCTGTGTCTGCTCATGTCACCTAAATGAGCACCATTCGCCTGGGTGACCAGGGCCTGGCCCCGGGTACTGCTGGTCTGGGACGCCCACAGGGCACAGAGGAGGCCCAGCCCCCGAAGCCCTGGACGACACCCTGCAGGGCCGTGGGCACCCGGCCACCCTGTGGGCCTGCTTCCCCACTGTAGCTGCTCCCTGTAGGGACAGCTCAGGGGACGGGGGGCAGCTCTGGGCCGTGGTTGACAAGGCAGGTGGGGACCCCAGGCCTCCCTCTGTCCTGAAGGAGGCAGTTAACAGAGGACCGACCTCTGAACCTGGTTGACCTTGACGTCTTGTGAGGGGTGGACGCAGGCAGCCCCCCACCGCTGGGCTGTTGGGGTACCGGCCACCCCTTTGGGTCCTCTCCCACACGCCGTCCTTGCACACGACGGGTGTGCGTCTTTGGGCAGCCACAGTGACTTGCCTTTGGGTCCCAGTGAGTCCTGGTGCAGAGCAGCTGTCCCCCCATCGGGCGTAAAGAAGGGACGGTGGCCCTGGGCCCAGTCAGGGGAGCATCCTCAGCAACTGAGGCTGAAATAACCCACAATGGGCCTTCACTGCCATGTGAAGGGAACTCTGGGCCTCAGTCTCCTCATCTGTGAATGGGGTGACAATGGCACCGCTTCCTGGGCGCACGGAGAGGGTAAGCGAGACAGGCGCAGGAAGCTCTGGGCACCATGCCTTGGCAGAAAGTAAGTGCTCAATAAATCAAGTGCAGAAAAAATCCCACAAGGAATCCCCCGACTTGTTCAGAGTCTTTGGGCTCAGTCAGGGGGGACTTGGATTCCAGTGTCACCTGTGCCCAGCTGGAGAGGCCCTGCTCCGAGGGGCCCACTCGGCAATGGGGTCCACAGAGCCCCCTTCCCAGAGGTTCCTGGAAACCCGAGTCACTTCCGTGTCACCAGGAGCTCGGTGGTTAAGTGGCCTCTCGGTGGCTGGAAGGCTGTCACCCTGGCTGGCCCTGCTTTGTCCGCAGGCACCCGAGTGCCCGGGCCTGGCCGGACCAGAAAATGGCTGCTGAGCTGCTTGTGAGACACAGGCGTTGCTGCTCCGAGCAGGAAAGAGGCCTTTGTCAGGACCTGGACACAGTCTCCCTCCACAGCCCGAAACCCACAGGTGAGATGCCGGCCAGCCTCGGCCCTGGTTCTGAGCTGCCCACTGCCCCCGGAGGGTAGGTCTTTCTGGAGACCCTGTGGGGTGGCCTTGTGTCCAGCCTCTGAGCCCCCAAGACGGACAGACTTGGATTCCCCAGAGGTTCAGCAGCCCCTCGGCAAATCACAGGACACACACGTGTAGTGGGASGGCGGGAAGCCCTCATCCTGCCAACGGAAGCTTCTGGGCCCCACCCCTGCCCTGTTCCAAGCCCCGTCTCATCCAGGGACTCGCATCTTGGATGAGAGAAGGACGCTCCTGTCACCGCCCCCTCCGTCCTGGAGCCTCAGGTGCTCCTGCCTCAGGACCTTTGCACCTGTGGTCCCTGCGCCCAGCCGCTTCCCAGCCTGCGCCCTGGCATCTCCCGGTTCTTTAG